TTTTTCCGCAAATTTATTCGATTCAAGAAAATTTTACATACGCGTTATTTAGCAACGATCGTTCGAACAACGTGACACGTTTATTTCTAAACGTTGTTTCCGATCCGATTAAAATTTTCGCATTAATATTATACATGTATGGAAAGATGGGATAAATAATTCACGGTATACGATATAACCGAGTTAATTAAACGTGATATTTGCCTGGCACGAATATATCAATATTCATAGATTTAACGAATAATCGTAACCAAAGCGGGGAGGAGGAGACAAAGATTTCACGGACAAATTCGTGAAATTGAACCGCATATATAATAATCAATTGGCAATGACTGTCGGCTATTAAACATATTCAATGAAGTAGCGATTGACAAGGGACGTTCTCCCTTTCCTCGTGATCGACAGGAATTGTGCGCGGCGTTTCACGCGGGCGCGAGGTTCGGCAAAATTAATCACTCCGCATCGTTTCCACGATTGATGGCCGCGCCCAAATCAAAAACCAAAGGCGTGAATATTCAGGGATCGACGGCCTGATTTCTATTTCACGGCTGCGTATTCCACGATCGCCGTTTCCGCGAAATAAATAACACGGGAGGGGGGGAGGGATACATCATACGCGTCACACTGGCCGCTTTCGCCCCGTCGCGAATGGAAGCCGGAGGGGGGGATCCACCACGCCACCAAGATCCGCGGGATGGGCTGGGTTGACGCGGTAATACCGGTTATCATCGCGCTGATTGCACCCATACCTACGCCCTACTGCGACTATCTTCCGCTGGAACCCGCGCCTGACCCGATATATTTCCATCCGAGCTATTCATTACGTCTATCCACCGCTCCGATCGCTCCTTTCACGGATACATCGATGCGCGAAAATTGGCAACCGTATACGGATACCTTCGTATTCATTCCACTTTCGTTATTACGAATCTTCCCCCTCCCCGTTTTCCCCTCCGATATACGTTCGATCGAATACCAACGAATAGATTTCACGCACGATTTTTACCATCCCTGAAGATAATTCCGTTGCGCGAACGATAATATCAACTGTTCGCGGAAACCAATATTTTTCCACCAAGCTTGAGCTCCAAAAGCTCGAAGCGAAACAACCGACCCTGTAATAATAACGCGCTTCCAGGATCGTAGCTCGAAATAAGCTCAGGTAAATCCGATATCTGGGCGAACAAAAGTGAAAACGCTAACGGGCATCGGCAAGTAAAGTTGTGTAACGATATAAATAACCTCTTTATGTATGTGCACGTGTATGTGCGCTCCCGCCAATGTTAATGCGCCAATGGCCGAGTGAGTGCACGTAGCGTTGCCGTGGCGCGAGATATCATCGGTGGGTGGAGGGGCGTGCGGGGAGAATGAACGGGGCAAATGGATAAAAAAAAGATGGAAAGGAAACAGCGACAAAAAGTTGCGGGTGCACCGTTCGTTATTCGCGCTCGTAAACACGACTCGACTCTCTCGGCAAAGGTAACGAACGAACGAGAAAGAGAGAGAGAGAGAGAGGGAGAAGTCGAAACGGCCACACCTTCCTTCCGAAATCCGCTCTCAAACCTCCCTGTCATTCCTTCCCTCCATGCCCCCCTCCCCTTCGAGAGCTTCCACCACGCTTATGTACACCTCCGCGTACACCGCGTACGTGTTTACCCGCTGCGAACGCGCCTCGCCAAGCGGAACTAACGATAACGAACGGTTACGAATGTAAGGGACCAGTTTGCAAAGCAAACGACATTTCAACCGAGCGCCGCTTTACCGGGAAAAGAGAAGAAAAATCCGGATGAAAATCCGGAGGTGGTGGCGGTGGAGGGTGGAACGGATGGATAGGCGAGTTGGGGGATAGGCAAACAACTGGAATCCCGTTGGAAACGCGAGAAGAAACGCGTTATTCGTACATCTTCCTATTCTTCCACCGGTTGTCACAATAACTCTCTTAATTTACGATCAAAGCGTATACGATTCTCATTACGTTACCGCGAAATTACCGATATAGCCAATGTATCTGTATCGCTTTTACCATCATCAAAACTTGCCAAGTTAGTAAAATCAATCGCGAGAGAATTCGAATCGATCACTTTTCGAAAGTAAAAACGGAAGGAAAGTTTATCGAGTAAGGAGTGGAGAGCTTGGCTCGAAACTTGGCTTCGAACCGATGTAATGCTCGGTTTATGGGGATCTTGCGGTGACCCGGTTCCAAATGCGGCGGTAGGTGGACGTATCGTCCGCTTGGATCGTAACAACGGCAATACACCGGTGGCACGGCCGGCGATGCTCGCGTTCTCGCAGCCG